GTAGGCAGCACTTGATATGGATACACATGCAGTTTCTGTCCATTCTGGGCTTGACCTAGGGGCATAGCCATAGTGGGCTGGGGGGGAAGGACATTGCCTTCCAAATGAGAATCCTCTCCCCACATTTTCCTTCAGCCTCTAAATACAGTATTTAGCATTGCAGCGAATGAGGCACTAAACATTTTTTCACACCTAGAACTCTTATATTTCCTATGTATATTTGCATTCCCTTGGTAACTTTGCCTGACCCTTTCCTTCACATGCCTACACTCTATTTTCAAATGCTCAGCTGCAATATTATGTTATTGAAGTGCTAGAAATGTAGGGATTGAAGGAAAATTTCCTTTGGGAGGGCGGATTTATTCATTTCTCCCTTTTCCTTGTAACTACACCCCCGGCTGGACCTCGGCATTTTGCTGCCTCAGGTGCAGCAACGAATGGCACCATTCCTGTGAGTAATTGAATCCAGGCATGTTATTTTGGCATATGGGGCAGAAACTCCCCCAAACACCTCTCCTCATTCTTGTTAAAATAGCTAAAAAATTGCCACCCTTTCATGACAACAAAAATTTGCAAGGCACTGCCTCATGGTAGGAATGGCCTTGAAAAGTATGGATGACTCTGGAAGCATGAGTCTTGGCCAAAGGTTTTGAAGTTTTAGGCTTCATAAAAGGCTGAAAAGGCTTACTATGCCTTAACGTAGCAGAAGAATGATCTAGGTAGGGAGTTCTGCTTCTTTCCAAAGATTTCAGTGGAGGATGTGAATAGACTGTTAAAAATCACTAGAGGCAAGGTAGCCTTCCAAATAATTTTTTTTTGTCATGTCAGGAGCGACTTGAGAAACTGCAAGTCGCTTCTGGTGTGAGAGAATTGGCCGTCTACAAGGACATTGCCCAGGGGACGCCTGGATGATTTTGATGTTTTATCATCCTTGTGGGAGGCTTCTCTCAAATCCCCGCATGAGGAGCTGGAGCTGATAGAGGGAGCTCATCCGCCTCTCCCCGGATTCGAACCTGCGACCTGTTGGTCTTCAGTCCTGCCAGCACAGGGGTTTAACCCACTGCGCCACCGGGGGCTCCAAATAATATATTGATCTTCAGCATATTCAATGGACTGATTGTCTCAAGAATATTTCCACAGCTCAGCCATGCTACTTGTGGAACTCTGGGAGTTGAAGTCCAAAGCAGAAACTTCTTCTCCAAGCTCTGCTTACCTTTGTTGTTGTTTATTCGTTCAGTCGCTTCCAACTCTTCGTGACCTCATGGACCAGCCCATGCCAGAGCTCCCTGTTGGCCGTGGCCAATCCCAACTCCTTCAAAGTCAAGCCAGTCACTTCGAGGATACCATCCATCCATTTTGCCCCTCTTCCTTTTTCCTTCCATTTTCTCCAGCATCATTGTCTTCTCCAAGCTTTCCTGTCCTCTCATTATGTTCTTATCTTATCATGGCATGAGGTCCCATATGATCTTCGAAGCTTAGCAGTGGTAGCCCTAGTTCATACTTGAATGGGAAACCACCACCAAAAACCAGGTGCTATAGGCTATCTTCAGAAGCCGATATTGGCAAAGCCACCTCTGAATATGCCTTGTCTAAGGAAACTGTCTGAAATTTGTGGGTTGCCATAAGTCGGCAGGCAACATAAAGGCACAGACAGACATATATGTCTATCATTGTTTTGTGTTTTTTTAAGTTGCTGCCTCAAGCGTTGAAACCATCTGACTGTCATAATAGATGATATTGCTCTCCTATTTATCTTGCATTTTGATGGGGTTGCTCTCAGAACATCCAGATGCCCTTTAACATGTAGCCTAAATGAAAGCTTTGGAAGCTTTCCCTTGTCTTTCATGATGCCTTAAGGGAAGTACCATACTACACCATGGTGGATACACATCGGTGATAACAATAAATAGCAGTCTCTTAACAAGTTCTTCCCTCCATAATATCCTGGAAAACTCCATAGTTGTCATTCCTGACAACATCCAGACAGTTATCAATTTCCCTAAATCTTATTGTTTCCTTCCTGAAACTTGCTAGAGGTGACCATTTAAGGCAGAGCTTTCCAAACCTTTCATGTTGATGACATGTTTTTCAGACGTACATTCTTTTGCAATATGGTAATTCAGTTTTACTTGAAAACCATAGGTTAAACCAAACCCTTATATGAGTTTCATACTCTCTCTATATATATCCTATAACATATATGTTATATATTACATAATATAATAGTTTCATATACATTTTTCATTTACACTTCTCCCACCATAACACCCTCCTCTGAGCCACCATAACACCCTCATCCTCACTCTCTTCCTCTTCTTCCTTCTGCCCCCCCCCCCCCCCCCCGCCCACTGTGACCATGGCCACTATTTGGGCCACTGCTATTGTGGGTAAGGCATAGAGCTAAGGACAAGAAGAAGGATAGTGGAGGCTCAGGCTAGGGCTCAGCACCACCCAAATGACCACTGATGTGGTTGCTCCTGCTGCCACTTTCCCCTCACCCTCCATTCTAATCAGGCAGTCTTTGTTTTGGACTGAGCATTTTCCATGTAACACACCAAGGGACTAAAAACCACAAACTAGTGTGTCGTGATACACAGTTTGGAAAGCTCTGATTTAAGGTATTACTCTGGGTGGTATTGTCATGTTTTTTGATATATGTTGTTTTTGTTCTTTATTAGATATAAACCAAGGGAGAAGCTGAGGGTCAATTTTGGCACTCCAGAATTCCTTGCTCCTGAAGTTGTGAACTATGACTTTGTCTCCTTTCCTACAGACATGTGGAGTGTAGGCGTCATTGCCTACATGCTGTAAGTAGGGCTAAAGTCTAAATCGGGGGTCCACAAACTTTTTAAACAGAGGGCCTGGTCACAGTCCTTTAAACTGTTGGAGGGCCGGATTGTAATTTGGAAAAAAATGAATAAATTTCTATGCATGTTGCACATATCTGATTTGTAGTGCAAAAAACCCTTAAAACAATACAATAATTAAAATGAAGAACAATTTTAACAAATATAAACTTATTAGTATTTCAATGGGAAGTGTGGGCCTGCTTTTGGCTAATAAGATAGGATTGTTGTTGTTGTTGTTGTTGTTGTTGTGAGCTTTCAAGTCATTTCAGACTTAGGTTGACCCTGAGTGAGGGCCGGGTAAATGACCTTGGAGGGCCATATCCAGCCCCCGGGCCTTAGTTTGAGGACCCCTGATCTAAATGTTAGCAGTATTACTTTCACAACTGATGCTCGTTTGATCAGAGTCCCTAAATCCGTTTTTAAAGCATTCTTTTATCTGGATAGCCCATAGGTGACACAATAAACATAAATGCTTCTTTTAAAAAACAAACTATTTAAAAATCAAATTTAAATATATAAACAAATGTTAGAGTGCCAGTGAGATTTGAGTGCCAGACTGCAACTCTGGAGACAAGATTCTGATTTCCACTCGCCTATGGAAGTTAAGCTACAGTACTCATATTGACCCTTGAAAAAGTTGCCCCATTTTTTTTGGTTAATTTTTTAAAAAACTAAAATTTCTAAATTATACATAAATATGTAGAGTTAATATGATCAGCAAGTTACTGACTTCATATAAATACAACTTCTAGTACACAGAACCATATTTTATATGTAATTGATATGTTCTTTTTATATATTACAAAAAGTATTTCCAATTATTATTAAAACATTTTACTTGTGATCAGCCTCTTATTTTATTGAAATTACAACTTGTTGTATATTCATAAACCCCAAGGATAAAGCTATAGTTTATTTTTTGACTGCCAATGATTATTTCTCCTCCATTTTTTGAAAATACAATATCCAGATGTTACATATCCTTAGATAACTGCTCAAGTTGACCCTCAAATTTTTTTGAATGATTTTCTTATATTGCACATATATTTGATCTCTTTTTTTTTTCTACAGGCTTAGTGGATTATCTCCTTTTTTGGGTGAAGATGACAATGAGACTTTGAACAATATCCTTGCTTGCAGATGGGACTTTGACGATGAAGAATTTGCAAAAGTATCTGAAGACGCCAAGGACTTTATCTCTAAGCTTCTTATCAAAGAAAAGGGGTAACCACATGAGAATATTTTTATTTATTTTATTTTTTGCATTTACTATACTTTCCAAACCAAGGTTGTTATCCAATATTTCCTTATTACAAGGACATGTCAGGTGATGGACTATTATACATATTGCTATATAAGATCCCAGACCCACATGAAGATTTTTAAAACATACCTCTGATAACAAACATACAGACGTATAATATGCCCAAACTTAAAAATATTGAAATTTTATATAATTCAGTGTAGGAGAAGTAGGACAAAATTAATATGCTGTTGTCTACAACTATGTGGGCATTAGATAATATAATCCATTAATTTATATTTTATTTATAGATACATTCCCATCCCCACTATAGTAACATATTTACTGTTTTTAATCATAAAAAACATCTCATCCATTCTTTGGCCTCCAGAAGAAAACCTGGGGCCAAGGTGGTAATACTGGAAGAGGAACACTTTTCCAGAAGATAGTTGGGCTCCAACAACATCAACAAACTCAAAACCCTTCTCATAAAAACCCTTTACTTAATTAAGCTTTTAGTACAGATATGTGTTTCTTTGCCATCTCAGGGACAGGTAATAAGCTAGAGAGCATACTAGCTGTTCCTCGCACATCCTTTTTGGAGTTTATGACCAATGTCATCGTTGCGTCTTTCTGTATTGCATTTCACACGTTCCCATGTGTATATACAAAGGATGTGAATACGTATTCCATTAATATACTTGAAATTGAAATTCAAAAAACTCTTTAAGGTGTCTTAAAGGTATCACTACACTCTTCCCTGCCTTCTCTCCAAGTTTTTAGTCTGAAAGCGCTTTACATGACTATTCTTTGAATTCTCTAACAGATGGAAATTCAACACTATAACTGGCATACTCAGAGGGTTATAGCAGCCAGGGGAGTGCAAATTTGTGGTGTAGACAAATTCCTTCCAAATACAACTAAATATTGGAATTTTGTTTTACAAAATATTGGAGGGAGAGATAATGCAATGTATGGTTTTGCCCTGACAAGAAAGATAACATGTCCTACTAATTCACTATAATCAACCATTGGGTTCTTTGCTGATTTACAAGCCCAGACTGTTGGTGTCCATTGCTATTTTCACTTATCACTTGTGCATTTCAAACACATTATCTCTTTCAGTGCTCAATTCACTGTCAATATGTTATATTCTAACTGTCTGATATCTTCCCTTTAGTTGGAGGATAAGCGCAACTGCAGCATTAAAGCATCCCTGGCTATCTGACCAAAAACTCCATAGTAGACTTCTCGCTCAGGTCTGTAGAGCTAAACAAAATTTCCTCTTCTCTTCTTCCTAGGTCAACTAGAACTGTAATGTTTTTCATCAATGTTATTCTCAAAGGAAACAATGAGTAATTTTAACAGGTTTATCATTTTAATGAAATCTTCAAGGACTGTAGCTCAGGACCAGGCCCGTAGCCAGGATTTCAATTCGGGGGGGGGGGGCTGAGTTTGTTTCGGGGGGGGGGGCTGAGTCTGAGGGAAAGAGGGTCTACCCTAGCAAACCTTTTGTATCGTTACCCCAATACCCCCATGCATATGGGATATATTGAGTATGGTGATCAGATCATGATATGAATAAACAAAACAGTTTAAATAATGCACCAGTAAGGCCTTTTCGCGAACCACCATGAGAATTTCGGGGGGGGGGCTGAAGCCCCCCCCCCAGCTACATGCCTGCTCAGGACCTATTCAGTGCAAAATTCAAATTTTACACAGAAAAAATAATTTATGCACATAAATATTATGTTAGGAAAATGCTGTGGCTTTTTTACACAAAAAAGTCACATACAAATTTAGTGCAGAATAGGTCATAGGAGCAATAATTCTCATCAAAGTAAGGTTTCCTGACTCCTGAGAAGCACATTTTTCATTCACTTTTTTTGAATTATTTAAAATATTGTTGTCATCTCAAAAAGTGTGCTACTGCTCAGTCTTTTGGGCTACACGTTTATAGAATCATAGAGTTGGAAGAGACCTCATGGGCCATCCAGTCCAACCCCCTGCCAAGAAGCAGGAAAATTTCATTCAAAGCACCCCTGCCAGATGGCCATCCAATTTCTGTTTAAAAGCTTCCAAAGAAGGAGCCTCCACCACACTCCAGGGCAGAGAGTTGTCATTCTAATATCCCTATCTTATAGCCAGAGCTTGCAAATGTTATAGATAGACAGACAGTTAGATAGATGACATTTTCCAGTATTCCCACTGACCACACTAGGTGGGGCATTTTGAGAGTTGCAAGGAAAAAAAATATGAATCTTTCAAAGCTCTGTTTAAGATTATTCATATATATACGTTATTCAGTATGATTACACTGTAAAGTCACTGAGACCATATATTTAAGAAACAGACTTCTATGAATTTAGAATCAATAAAGAAGTGTGTATGGATTTTTTCCTGTCAGAAATCCAAAATCATCTTTACCTGGGAACTTGTGATTAATGAAGATACAATATGTTTTTTGTAAATTATGGTTTGAGATATATGTCTCTCAAACAAACAAAAAATGAATGGGGAATTTACAGTTTGCTCCCCAGGCATGTGCCCAGACAGCAGGGGGTTTTAACAGTGGAGATGTGAATGTCTCTTTCACATATATTACAGTGTTTCTTTATATTATATATGTGTCCCCCTATACATACCGGGGTGAGCATTGAGGTCAAATGGGGAGACCCTTATCTCTACTCAGGCCCTTTCTAAGATGTGCTTAAGCAGGACCAGGGAAGGCTACTTCTCAGGACAGACACTGGCACATTGGAACCCCCTTCCGGAAGAACTAAGATCTGCCCCATCTCTACTAAGTTACCAGAAGGGGGTAAAGACCTTCCTATTTCAGAAAGCTTTTAACTAAAGATGGGATGTGTCAGGGCTAGGTTGAGTTTTAACAAGTTTAACTAATTTTAACGGGTCAGTCATCTGTACATCATTATGGGGATCAGAAAGGGGAGGTGGCAAGAGGTCGATGTACTTGTGATTTTAACTATGTTTTTAGCCTTTGCATTGTATGGTTTATCTTTTGTAAGCCACCTTGAGTCCGCTTGGTGGAGAAAGGTGGGGTAAAGGTATCTTAAATAAATAAATAAATAAATAAATAATATTACTATCTGATCATGCAATTCTCCATTTATATGATCTCTCTTTATTTGGTGAGAAAATAATGGCAATAATTATGCATTCATATGATCTTTCATCCGTATGGTCCTCTTAACAGCATTTGAAGGAGAAAAGGAAATACACTTATTTCTCTTATATAGAGAGAAAATGCATCATAGTCATATGTGGTCTTGTCCATCCAATCAGAAATACCCACATATATGGCGATGCTCCTGTAGGTATTTGGTGTTTTGAATGTAAAGTGGCATTGGGATCCAATTCTTATGACATTGCCTTATCTCTTTTTCTGTTACAGAAGAAGGCTAAAATTTCCTCCACATCTCAGGCACTCGAAGCTCCATAACACTGAGAAATGGAAGGTTGGTACCCAGATCTAACATAGCTATGTAAAATATTAATTACTAAGCCTAGTGCACATATTGTAGCTGCTATATTGATAACCCTTAAAATTGCTTCAAGTTCAGAACATTTATTAGCATTCACAATTTTCTACCTAATAAGGACATGACCTTGAATAGGGAAAAAAAACACTATTACATGAGAAAATTAAATTAACAGATTCAGTTATGCACCTGGATCCAGTTCTGAGGCTGATTCTTACTCCCCCCCCCCCCCCCCCCCCCCCCCCCCCCCCCCCCCCCCCACCACCACCACCACCACCACTACCCTGGGAAGTCTCCCTTGTATGATAGGCAGCTATGCAAAGGTGCTCTGCTATGGCTGACTTTTCAGTTTGAATTAGTCTGCAGTGCCTTTGTTGAATTTTCTTAGTAGGTCTGTAGATATTTTGTAGATTGTAGGTTGTAGCATAGGGAAGCTGATGAAAAAACACAACCTAAAAGCAAATGTTATGTTCAGCAAAGGACAAGAGGGATCCTCTCACCTCTGCAGGAGTCTATCGTGTACTATGCAGTCTACATAGGGACCACCAAACGCAGCAGCGCCCAAACACGAATCAAGGAACATGAAAGGCAGTGCAGACTACTTCAACCAGAGAAGTCAGCCATAGCAGAGCACCTGATGAACCAACCTGGACATAGCATATTATTTGAGAACACAGAAATACTGGACCATTCTAACAACCACCATGTCAGATTACACAGAGAAACCATTGAAATCCACAAACATGTGGAGAATTTCAACAGAAAGGAGGAAATAATGAGAATGAACAAAATTTGGCTACCAGTACTAAAAAAAACTCTAAAATCAGGACAGTAAAGAAAAAGCAACACTAAAAAAACCAGCAGAATTCCAGACAAGAATCAATCAGGGCCAGCTAACACCTCCCACAAAGGATTCCCCCATGCAGGAGGCATTCCAGGCTTTGAATTTACAAGGCCATTAAATGCTAATCAAGGTGGCCAATTGCAACATTCACACTTGCCTTTCTCACAAGACCATTAAATGCTAATCAGTGTGGCCAACTGCAACAACTGCCTTTCTCCCACCTGGACATTCCACAGCTATATAAACCTTACTTGCCTAGTATCTAACAAATGTCACAACCTCTGAGGTTGCCTGCCATAGATGTGGACGGCACGTCAGGAGAGAATGCTTCTGGAACATGGCCATAGTAAAAGGTAAAAGTCTAGTCATGTCCGACTCTGGGGAGTGGTGGGCATCTCCATTTCTAAGCCAAAGACCTGGCGTTGTCTGTAGATGCCTCCAAGGTCATGTGGCTGGCCTGACTGCATGGAGCGTCATTACCTACCTGCCGAAGCAATACCTATTGATCCGTTCACATTTGCATGTTTTTGAACTGCTAGATAGGCAGAATCTGGAGCTAACAGCGGGAGCTTACCCCGCTCCCCAGATTTGAACCGCCAACCTTTTGGTCAGCAAGTTCAGCAGCTCAGCTGTTTAACCTGTTATGCCACCGGGGGCTCCATACAGCCCGGAAAAATCACAGCAACCCACTGATTCCAGCCATGAAAGCCCTTGACAACACAAAAACAAAAATGTTTTCAATCCTATCAGAAGAATTCAGATGGATGACTTTTCTGCAACTTAGGAAGCAGAAATATGTTGGATCAACTAACCAGGACTCTTCCTCGGGGCAGACTCATAAACTGCTTCATCAATGCTGGCACAGCCTGTTTTACCACAGAAACTGAAAGGGTGTTTTCTTTTTAAATAAAGCACCGTGGGAACTAGTTCAGGGGACTTGGGGGAATATCTATAGAAAGCTCCTTCTGAATTTTGCAAATACTGAGAATAGCTGCATCTGGTGGTTTTTACATAGCCTGAATATTAACTCTGGGACTGAAGATATGAAATATGCCATTTTTCATTTGAGTGCTAATTTTGAACCGAGGTTTAGTCCATGCGGAAATGTACAGTTTACATGGTGTGGTAACCAATATAATTGGGTGGTTTGTAACTCAAGCTTTGCTTTGTAAAGACTGCTTAGCAGAGCTCCAAGGCCTCTGCTTTGTAATGAGTTCCCGTAAGTTGCATCCATGTCTCTATGTCTAAGCCACCAAAACCACATTGTTCCAAACCACGGCAACCATGTACTGACTCAAATTTGTGGGAAGAGACAACATTGTTTTGTCCAGACAAGAACTAGGCAATGATTCCAACTTTGCAAGGTCTTGAATCTTATTGCCACTTTAGAAAAGCTAGCAGGGATAAATCCTATGAACACAGATGGCAAAAGAGACAATCCCTCAAGTCAAACGTTTGGATGGTTTAAGAATCTCCCTGTGAAAAATCATGCCTAGTTGTGTCATTGTACTTTTTAAAATGAAAGTATCACAATATAACACTGTGTTTTTTTAGTACCACCGAATTCCCTAGTAGCATGCCAACTTTTTTCCAGCCTAAATCTATATAAATAAAAATGTAATGTTTGTTTGTGGGATTAACATAACTCAAAAACCACTGGGCAAATTGACACCAAATTTGGACACAATACACCTATCAGGCCAACAAGTGACCATCACTCAGAAAAACACAGCAGAAGAGACTTAAAAAGCCAAAAAGTAAAAAAAATACATTACAACGCATGTGCAGAACCACACATATACACACATACACACACACAAAAAAAACACATTTACACAGACTGGGCCACAGCAATGTGTGGCAGGGGATGGCTAGTGTCATATAAAAACAAAACTGAGCCAAGAGAAAGCAATCATGGATATTATCAATAGCTATAGTCCTTCAAGTTGATGATTTCATGCTAAATTTTATGGGTTTTATAGGAACTGTCCAAAATGCTGAACTTATTTGAGAATTTGCCTCAGCACCTTAGATAACTTCTATCAAAATGGACTAGTTAAGCCCTGGTTGAGCAGTGGGTTAAACCGCTGAGCTGCTGAACTTGCTGACTGAAAGGATTGCAATTTGAATCTGGGGAGTGGGGTAAGCTCCCGCTGTTAGCCCCAGCTTCTGCCAACATAGCAGTTCGAAAACATGCGAATGTGAGTAAGATCAATAGGTTCTGGTTCTGCAGGAAGATAACGGCGCTCCATGCAGTCATGCCAGCCACATGACCTAGGAGGTGTTTACAGACAATGCCAGCTCTTCGACTAAGAAATGGAGATGAGCACCACCCTCCAGAGTCAGACACAACTAGACTTAATGTCAGGGGAAAACCTTTACCTAGTTCTTCTAAAACCAAGTGTGGATTCAATAACCCAAATCGTTATTTCTGGCTACCTCTGACTCCTAATAGTCTAACTGTATTATGGTGGAATAGAGGCACTCTATGGGGATAGATGTATATAGAATTATTTGGGTACAAAAAATGTTTTGGTTAAATCATGCTGGGTCCAAAACAGATTTTGGTGTAATCGTTATTAAGTGACGCTAGATGGAGTGTAGGAGATGTTATACCAACATTTATATTCAAGGCTTTTAGAATAGGGTCTGGTGATGGTATCAAGTTGGCTTTGACTTATGGCTGCTTATGAAGGACAACCCTCCAAGAGACCCTGTAATTAATCTACTCCAGTATCACATATAGTACTGGAGCAGGTATTGGTACACAACAATGCAAGTTTCATTGAGTTTTCAGATATGTATATTGAAATTAGAAATATGCTGGCATGGGAAATCATGACTTTGGTATTCAGTGGTAAATGTTTACACCTGAGAATCTTATCTAGTTCATTCACAGCTGCTATTCAAAGATTTAACTCATCTTGCCCTATCTACAGTGGTGCCGGTGATGATGCCAGGCCTAGATTGTTTTGGGGACCAAGGACTATCATTAGTTGTACCACTATCTACAGATTGGACACGAAAAAGAGGAAAAATGGAATTAAAAATTCAACATTTGTTTTTGTCTGCAAAGTCATTCCATTGTAGACAATCCTAGTGAATCTTAATTCTGGTTAGTGGAAAATGCCATAGTTTAGGGAGCTAGCTTGTTTCACTAGCCAAAGTTAAAAGTAGGCTTCGACTTGTAGCGGTGTTCTTAACTACAGTTATTCTGAAATGGAGGTGAAAGTTTCCAATTTATTCACAAGTCAGCATAGAAACTAGACTTGTTACTATAATAGCAAACTATGGTTTCACCTGATATCCAAATGCGGCAACTGCAGATTTTGTAATAAATTGAGTTGAATGGCAATGCTATGAAATGTATTGCTCCTTGAACCACTTTTTGTCCTCTGTCATTTGCAGAAGAACATGTTGTGTGGTTCACTACTGCGATGATGTTTGGAAATACAATTCAGCAGTTCTGGTGCTTTGATATCCGCTCCCCTTCTCCCCTTGAGAACCTGAGGCTTTTACTCAGTGGACCAACACCACTTGAGCTGCAGGATTGCACCCCAGCCATATTGAACTGCGTTCCTCCCCTGCTTTCTCTCACTTTTCAATGGATGCTCCAAGGAGGTGTTGCTATTTGAAGGCTGAATTCATGTGTGTTCGATGTTATATCGTTGTCATTCAGCCCGATATATCTGGTTTTCCAGACAGCTGTTGAAAGAATGGAGGGACTTCCTTTTAGGCAATCAAATCTCTTTCTCGGCTCAGCAAATAGAGCTTGAATTTGATTTGAAGATGGCTGCTTTTGGAGAAACACAATGAAAAACAAGCTGGTAACTCATGAGAAAAATGTGTGTGCTCTTTCAGTTTTTTATTGGCAAGGTAACCAATCAATCTCCTACAGCAGTGAATGGCACAAACAAATCAGAGCTTGGGAAAATGAATTATTTTGGTCTACAACTTCTACAATCTCACATCCAGCATGAACTGTGAGAATTGTAATCCAGAAAAGGAACTGATCCATGCTTTTGAGTGGCAACTTCCTTTCAAATCATCCTGAAAATGCCGTTTCTGTGCTCCCTATCATTATAATTCAGATGTGTTGGTTTAGGCAATTTACAAGAAGGTGTTTTGGTCT